GAGCTTTCCACTTGCCTCCGAGACTGACTTACTATCACACTACTACTTTTTCATTTAAGAAAAAACTAAATGTGATGACACCAATCAAGTGTTAATATTATAAAGGTTTTGAAAAGAAAGTAGTTGCTTAATTAAGATACTATGGCAGCAGCCTTGGTGGTGGTGGCGGTGGTGGTGTGATTTTGAAGAATAGACTTGAGCTGTTAGGAAACCCTAACATATTTCTTAGGTTCTTTACAGAGACCGAATGAGAAGAACTGCATCAGATGATATTGCCAAATACTTTAGAAATTTCCCAGCAACAGCCCCCTCTAGGCCTTTCCTGCCTGATTTGCCACCAACAGACTAGTAGACCTTATGACAAGGGATTCCAAATTTGTTTAACGAGAGTGTGCTAAAAAAGCTCCGATGTGAAAAGGCCTTCCTTCTCAAAAAAGTTGAAAATTACAAAGTAGACCGAGGTTTCTTCCCTTCCGCATTTTACTAATTTCCATCTTAATATGTGGCAGAGTTTAATACTGGGGCAAAATCTATTCTGATCTATAGCTTGGCCGTAAAGATTTGCGGGCAGGCAAAGCTACAGAAATCCTTAACTCTGATAGGAAAAAACCGTGAAGGGAAAAAATGTCTGTCACTATAGTGCTGGGTGCAAAATGATCCCAAGAGCAACTCTAACTCTGATCGTGAGTTGGTAACAGGATGCCAAAGAAGAACCAGGTTCAAGTTGCAATAATTCCATCTATGAGCTTAGTAACCTTGAACAACTCCAAGTTCAGTTACTTCTCTATAAAATGTATAACAATGTGAATGCATTGAAGGGCTCAAATGGAGGTGGAGGCTTTACCAAGAAGAAGGAGTTAAAATAAATGTGATTTGTTACCATGATTATAACAATGACTTTTTGGTCAGAAATAAATAAATGTCCATTTCATTTATGGTAATTTGTGCCACCAATAAGCAATAAATGCTTTGTTTTATTTGGTTTGGATGACAAGGTAATTTATTTGACCTTTGTGGTGCTACTATAAATTTTGCACATAATTTTCCTCTCAGCTTTCCAAGTGTATGATTCGATCTTCTTCTCTTATCTGGGGTAAAAGTTGGAAGGAAATTCTGCAATGTCCCACCACACTGAAGTGTTAAACTTCCTTTGCAAAGAGGATCATTTTCCTATGTCAGTACTGAAAGCATACAGTTTATCTAGTAGGAGGAGAAACACAGTGAGTAAATCTGCTGCAGTCAAAATTTCTTCATCTGAAGAAAGAGAGCAGGCTGTGGGCTGAGGGATGGTCAGAGAGTATAGAATGAACTTAGGCTCTGACAAGCCTTTTAGAACTTATTCTGCAACCGGAAGTGACACAATTAGCTGTCCCATGAGCTGGAAAGCCATCATGCGCACCCTGCCACTTCCTGTCCTGGGTGTCTGGAGAAGGGAAGGTTGGCAAAACAAAGCATGAGGAAGTAGGTCATGGAAAGAGGAAAGAAGAGGCCAAAGAAAGAGTGAGAAAAGTCCCAACTCTGCCCCTCATCCTGGTTCCTTATTCTTGCAGGGCTGTGATTGAATAAACTGAATTGTTTCTATTTCAATAGTCGTTCTTTGCTGCTGAATTTAGCAATACCTTTAGAGAACATAATTCTTGACCTATTGACAATGCTTTGAGAAGAAAGCTGACATCAATATATTTGACAGCCAACTAATTGCTTAGTTAGAGTTCAAACACCAAAGGGACTCATGTAATTCTTCAGTTGCTTTATCCCTAAGCCTCTATCCTAAATAGTAAGGTACAGTAAAGGTCTAGGAAGTTTGGATTATCTCAGTATCAGGGCACTAGCTATTACCTTAGGTCGGCATTACTACTATTTATTGTTCTCTTGTCATTCACTGTGGGAAAGTGACGGAGTATTTTTTTAATCTGTGCACATGATGGAAAAGGAAAGATGAAAAAATAGAGAGATGGCTTCCTTAGTACAAATAGAGAATCCCAGAGAGGTACATGAGAAACAAGGCATGTTGGGTAGTACAGGTCATAAAGGAAATTGAGGGCATTACCATTTGGCAAGGTACCAGGTATGGTTATCAGAAAACAGATGTAGGGGAGGATGTGATTTCAGACTGAAGTTGAAGCACACAGGCCCCCTCCTTGCCCCTCTTCAGTTGTCAGTACTATCATAGGAAAAGTCACAAGTAAGTGAAACAAATGATATTTCAGGTGGTCTTGTCAGTTCCACATTGAAAGAAAGATCAGGAAGGAGTCTGAGTGAGGCTTGCATCTTGAAAAGGAGGTAATGTTTGGTTGTTTTAAAAAAAAAGAAGAATTTCAACTGGAGGTGCAGCTCAGTGGTAGATCATGTGCTTAGCATGTACAAGGTCTTGGGTTTGATCTTAGCTCATCCTCCTGACCTCTGCTCAGCTGTAACTCTCCACCATCATCTGTTCACTTAACTAGATGTTCTACCAGTACACCCATGGCCACTGCCATTAAGGAAACCCAAAAGCTCAGCCAGCATGAGTTGGATGTGGTCAACAGATTTGTGTAGAGACCAGCAGCTCAATTGCTCCCAGCCTATCCTGTCACAGAGGAGGCGCAGGTACATCACAGCAGAGTCCACTGCAGCGGCATAGAATCCACGATTTGAGGTCATGGCCAGTGTCAGGCTTCGTGATCATCTTGCTTTCAAGCCACAAAGGTTTAGAAAAGAACTGCTCCCCTCCCCCGCTTATTTCTAAGTCAGAAAAAATTATTCTTTGTATAACAGTAATTACAAAGTTAAATTAGAACATAGTCATAAAAACTTTGACTTTGGCCTTAAAATCTTTAACTATGACAAGATAATATTTTATGATAAGCTAGATGAAGTCAAATACCAAATATCCTTCAACAAAAGGAGCTTATTTTCCAGGTTTAATATACACCCTGAAAAACTATAATAGTACATAAGATCCTAATGAGATAATTGACAGTGTGAAATAGGAAGAAAAGGGCTAAAGGTGTAGGGAAAATGGGAAGGGTAGGGGAAAGGGAATAAAGGAAAAGAAAAAAACATGACAAAATGAAAAAATGGAAATAAAGTGTTTGTAAATGGGGAGGGGAGGAGCGGGTGAAGGGAGGGCAGGGACAAGGGGAAAAAATGAGAACCAAGACCTGTCATGTAAAGGTACAAGATCCCAATAATGAATGTAACTGTACTGTATTCCTAAAATGTACCAATAAGCTCAATGAGGAATAAAAAAATATATACACCCTGATGTATGTCTAGTCAACCCAGTAGGGCTGACGGCATGGATTACACCCTCAGACAGTCTGGAATAGCACTGACTACTCAGGCCTCCAGGCCATATGTCCCACTTTTCCATATCCTTGTGCAGCAATACAAATCTCTACTATTCTTCAAGTCTCTATCTAAATAGGAAACAACTGAGCCACCACCCAAGCAGAGGGCCTCATTTATCTGTGTCAAGTCGATGCATGTTTATCAGACTTCTGCTTTCTTCATTTCCTGTCCTGCACCCAGCCACGTTACCCTTCCTCATATTACAGAGCAGTGGTCTTCAAACTGTGGTCCTGCAACCTCTGGAGTCTCATGGAACTGATCAGGACCAGGATACAAAATCTGAGGCCAGCAGAGCTGCTGGATCCTTTTCCTTTCCCTCTGTTCCATCTCAGCAATTTTGCTTCTGGCTATATCATATGTTGGCACTCCTGATTACATCTGTGTTTCCTACTCAGATGAGAAAGCTGTGAAGCCCACCAAGTTCTGGTAGATGAGGGGAGAGCTTCATACACCTCTACGGGAATGATGGAGTTTCCCAGCTTTCACAAACAGGCTCTGAAGGCATGAGCCCATGATACCTCTTTTGATTTGACCTTCACTGTCTCCCTGAAGTAGAAATTACCATTCCTATTTTATGGGCAAGTAAACTAAAAAGGCTAAAGGACATTTTGAAGGCGATACAGCTACTGAGGGCAAAGCTAGGACACAAACTCGCTCACCAGATGTTATACTTCAGCTCTGCCCAAATACTCTGTTGCAAAGTATGTATTCTGTTCCCATCTTACTTGAAGTACTTTCCCTGTGTATTCATTCATTCTTTCAATCTCATCTTCCCAAGAAGGCCTTATCAATTTCCCAACTGAAAGAGAGTCTGAGGGAAGAAATAGACAACCTTTCCCTAGAATATCTGTAAAACTTTTGTGCACTTACAATGGGGTTGTACGGTGCACTGCAATCCCAGGATGAACCACTCATGGCCAATACTGAGGAACAAAATAAGCAAGATACTGACCATGACTAAGAGACACAAAGAAACTATTAAAAGTCAGTAGTTGGCATCACTCATATGTACTTTTCCTTGATATACCAGACACATGGTTGTGTTTCTAGGTGTCTTGTCTCTGTGCTGAAATACATCACAGAAAACATTTGATTCAAAATAAACAAATGAGCAACCCCTAGGTTAGTACTAGTGATATTATACTTGTGTATTTTTCAGAATCCTACTGACACATTGAACAAGAAAGAATAAGAAGGGGAAGGATATAGATCCTTTTTCTTAGAAGAATGCCGAGACTTTAATAGTACCATGGATTCATAACTTAAGTAAAATAGACATGATTTAAAAGTTGCTGCACTGACACAGCTTAGAAATGCTTTTTTAAAATGCTGAGCAAAGGGATCAATTCAGCCACACTGTTTCTATAACTGGTGAGGAAATAGTATCAGCATAAAGAGGTTGACCTGTGTAATAAAAGATGATACTCAAGTCAAATCAGGACACACACACACACACACACACACACACACACACACACACACACACACACACACACACACTATGTGAAACTCTTGTTGTTGTCTCCAAGGAAGTGTACTCTGGAATGGCTTTTTCTTGGAAACCCTCAAAGGAAATTCTTTTTCCCTGAAAGGGCAAGTTCTTCCTTCATTTGGAGCAGGAAGGTCTCTGCACATTCACATGCAAACTGGGCTTTTTAATGCCTTACCTGAGCAGAAAAGTCAATGAGCTTCGGGAGCAGCACTTTGCCTCCTTCATCACTCTTGAGGAAATCTAGCAAACTGCCTGTTTACACATGAACAGCTGATTAGTGCAGGTCCAATTCAAACAAAATCCAAATAATCATTCTCACTGGGGGAAAGACCCCACAAACTGCTTAGCTTTGCAATTCTATATGGTTAGAAAGTCTTTCCCTGAGTTTGGTCAAACTCAGTTCCTTCCAATCTTTTACCTTTGACCTGATGTCAAACATAGCATAGGGATTTAGCTCAATGGTTCTGCTGCCAGCCTTGGAAGCACAAGGACCTGAGTTTGATCCCCAGTACCAAAAACAACAACAAAAACAAAAAACATAGTATGTGCTCCAGGTGAGGAAGGATGATGATGTATAGTGCCTTTCTCTCAATATGCGTATGAAATAATACATGCCAAAATAACTGCCATCATAATTAGCTTCCTGTAGCCAGGTCCTTAGTGAGTGCCTCTGGAACAGAAAGCAAGCAAACAAGACCTCATAGAGAGAACTTTCCACATACACCAGCCAGGCTCACTCTCATTTGCCTCCAACAGAAGGCACAGATGTCTGCACATGCCATCGGTGCACCAAGAAGGGTATCTGAGGAACCAACTGTTCCCTGGACAAAGGCAGGAATGTGCGGATGGACAAATTCTTTTACTTCCTGAGCCTGTCTTTTCCCTGGAACTTAAGTACCAATCTTCTGGGTATCCTTGGTCAAGTCATTAACTTCGGGTTAGTGTCTATAAAGTGGGCATGGTAGCTCTGTTGGGGTCCTTGAGAGGAAGCCATCAGGGATGGATGTAAAACACATGGAATGGTTTGTGCAGGCAGTAAGTTATACTATTCATCTATTTCATGGAGCAATAGTACTTAGCCCTTGGGCTGCTGAACAGACATCACCTGCGGAAGGCATGGAGAACAATCTGGTAGAAGACTCAATAAATGTTAGGTATTGTTATGAAGAAAACACTGTAGCTGTACTTACGGTTAAGAATAGTATTAATTAATTCAACAATATTTATTGAACCACAAAGCATCTGACCCTGAGCCTGGTTTCTGGGATATAGCAACCTGAAGCATATGGCTTAGATTTGTTTATTTTGTTTTGTTTTTAGAAGATCCTTTTTGGAAAGACTCTGAGTAACTGCTATTCCTAAATGTTAACAAATACTAAAAAACAAAATTCATCTTTCTAACTTATTTGACTATATTACACTATAATCTCCACTATGTATGAGTGATTATTAATTTTGAATTGTTCATGTAGCTTTCTCTCCCTCATTCATTACTTCTCAAGACTTTTTTCTTTTTCAAATCATTTAAAAGTTTATTAATATCTCTATGAAACTGGATGGAAGTGAACAAAAGAAAGATGGTTATTCAAAGCTTTTTATTTGAAGGTGATGAAAATAGAAGAAAAGATTGTTCTTTGGAACCTCTTCTTCAGGTATTCCATAATTCCATATGAATTTAACCTCCAAGTGTTTTAAATATATTAACTTGTTTTTATTCTAGCAAAGCACTCTACCACGGAGCCAAGTTTTGAGCCCCCGTATTAACATTATAAAGTGACACCCTGAACATTTTCATAATGCTAAAGAAAAAAAATGAACTAATTTTTGAGTATTTACTTTTTAAGAACATAACAAAAATATTCTCCTTTGACATACATATTCATTGTTTGGTAAATACTGTATTTATTAGGGTCTCCTAGATACATGGTACCATTCTTGGGGCTAATGGGCATATGCAAGCAGGTGTAGGAAAAATAGAACTGAATATCAATTTTATGGCATGGGTTCAGTTCTCATGAGTGGGTTTATAAAATACAATTAACAATGAAGTGCAATTAAAACTGTTGTCTGAATGTTTACATTTCGTTTTTTGAGTCTGAAGCCTTGTAAAGATACTGACAAGTTGGAAACATAGCTCATGGCAGAGTGCTTGTCTAGCATGTTCAATCTTCAGCACGTCAAAATGACTTGAAAGAAAGAAGAAAGAAAGACATGAAAGAAAGAAGGAAAGAAAGAAAGGGCATTACCCACCCTTGGCCATGTACTCAGTGATGATGTAGATGGGCTCTTCCTTAGTGACCACGGCGTACAGTCTCACTAGCTTGTCATGCTGCAGCGTCTTCATGAGGTTGGCTTCCTCGAGGAAGGCTTGCACGGACATGGTGCCTGGCTTCAGGGTCTTCACAGCAACCTTCGTGCTGTTGTTGTAGTAACCTAGGAAGAAAAAGGAAGGGAGGCATGCCATGTGAGGCAGAAAGTTCAAGTTTGATTTCAGAGGTGTAGAGTTAGGAAACAATTTAGCTATGAAAAAGGCAAAGTCGTACATTAAACACTATAGAGTGTTAAAATTAGAGATGGCTGGATGAAAGGCAAGTGGGAAGGCCCATTTTTAATTTTCTTTTTTTGTTTGTTTGTGGTACCTGGGATCAAACTCAGGACCTTGCCCTTGAGAGGCAGGCACGGTGCCTGAGCTAAAACCCTAGACAAGGCTCATTCTTTATAGAAAGTCTAAAATTATTTCAAAATAACAAAATTCCAAGTAAAGTAACAGTAAAAATTCTACTTGCATTCTATGTAATCACACACAACACTTCTCAGGCCCCCACTTAAGAAATATAAGCATGTTTTACAGACACCTACAGAGATGATGATGTGGCAGCCAATATGCCGAAATACACATTGAATACTGGCTATCTCTGATGGTTTAATTATGTGCAGTTTTAATTTTGTTTGCCATAATTTTAACCATTTACTAAATTTTATAAAATGATTATGTTATTTTTATAACCAGAAAAAGTGTTGTACTTATACACACAAACTTTCAAGTGCAGTACACCAGGGTCAAATAAGCATTTCCCACAGTTTTCAGAGAACTGGGGTCGGGGGTCTCTCTGTGAGAAAAGGTCCTGTGCTGAAAGAGAACATGATTGGCCATTTCTCCATGTCCAGGACATGCAGCAGGCATGTCAGGTGTCCTTCTGAGAAGGAACCTGAATAGATTCACCTCTTTTTTTCCTGTACTGTCTTGATCTCAAAACATCTGCCACATAACTTGTTATAGTTCATGGAACATCCTCTGGGAAATCCTGATGCTGTGATACAATTCTCTCAAAGCATCATATTTTTGGAAGCTGCCTCAATGAAGTGCTTACTTAAGTTTTTCTTTCTGAATGTACTCAATAGTGGAATCTTTTTTTTTTCTTTTGGCAGTACTGGGGATCTAACTCAGGGTCTTGAACTTGTGAGGCACGAGCAGGGGGCCTCTGAGCTAAATCCTAGCCAACGAAGTGCTTAATTTTAATCCTGAGCTTCCTTTTGGAAAAGACTTGTATCAGTGGTTTGGCAAAGCAGAAATACAAGTAATCATGCTCCACTTTCCTTTTCTCTCTATTTTTATACTTCTCTTAAGAGTGCAAAAAAATAAAGGTGAGGAAGGAGGTGCAGCTGGGGGTACCCCAGTGCTTCCTGGCCAGTGCTTCCTGGTATACTGCAGCTTGGCAGAACCTGCCCCATGAGCACTGATATGGGGCTCACAGTCACAACGTCACCCACGTGTGTGCAGCACACGAAGTTGATTAGAAGATGCTCATCAAACAATAACCATCATCTTTGGGTGACAGAACTTGGGGTGACTTCTATTTTTTCTTGTTCTTCTTCTATTTTGATTAATTTATCAATGAGTATGTACCTTTTTAATAAAATAAATTATGTTTTAAAAGAAAACAAGTTAATTTTCAATTTCCAAGGTCTCAAATAGGTATGAAAAAGTATTAGTTTATAGTCAATTAGTCATGTCTAGCTACTGAGTTTTCTTCTGGACATTCAGACTGATTTCTCAGGACTGGGGATATACTCAGAGGTAGAACTCTTGCTTAGCATGAGTGAGGGCTAGGTTTGAACCCAGCACTGCTCCCACAAAAGATGAACTCATTCACTAAAATGTTTCTTTTTAATTCTGCTTTGGTTTATAGTATATAGTAATAGTCTGGGGTACCTTACAGAAAAATGAAGGTTTCAGTATAAAATAACTATTTGAACATACGGAAAAGACAGTAAGAGAAAGTTGACAAAAAACTGTCCTAGATCCTTCTTGAAAGCTACTACATACATAAAATAACAGAATCATACATAAATAAGTTCATTGGCCATCCAAATGTATAATTACAAGCAAGATGATCTTTTTAGTAGGTCTCAAGAGTAATTTAAATTTAAGCTTCATCATCAGCAGTTTAAAATTACATTTACATCAAGAAAACTCCATTATAAACTTTTATTTTATAAGTCTTCAGTTACATGAGTATATCACTATCAAAGCATAGTCTATTAATAATTCCTATGAATTAGTAAGTAAAATAGAAAAGTAGGTAAAAGCTTGGGTAGGCACTTCAAAAAAGCAGAAATTCCAGTGACTAACAGGTACTCAATTATATTCATAATCAGAGAAATACACTTTGGAAAATAAGTTGATAGTATTTAGTTGAGATAAAGATTCATAAGATAACCTGTGGGGGAGTTGGCCCCTGGCCCCCTTGTGGATACCAAAATCCGAGGATCCTCAAGTCCCCTATATAAGGTGGCATGATATTACACCCAACCTACATACTGTGTGTCCTGGTTCATCTCTAGATTACTTAGAACACTGAATACAATGCAAATGCTCTGTAAGTCTTTGTTAAGACTACTGTTTAGGGAATGAAGACAAGGAGAAAAACCTATACCTGTTTTTCCCAAATATTTTCCATTCAAGTTTGCTTGAATCTGTGAACCCATAGATATGGAGGGTCACCTGTACCTTACAGTCTAGCAAATCCATCCCTAGTAACCCTAAAACACTCACGTAAAATAGTCAAAGCACATTTCTCACAGCAGCCAAAACCTGTGAGCAACTCTAATTTCATCAGTAAAGAGTAAAATAAGTGAATACATAAACTGTTGCATGGTTTGAATAGACACACAAGCAACACTGTAGGGCAATAAAGACAGATGAAATGCATCTACATCAAAAAACATGGACGAATCCACAAAGATTTCTGGCAAAGCATATCTCACATTCAACATGATTCATTTATATAAAGTTCAAGAATAGGCAAAACTGGACTGTAGTGTACAAATGTACTAAAACTATATTTTTAAAAAATCAGAGAGGACGTGGCTCAGTGGTAGAGCACTTGCCTACTGTGCAGAAGGCCCTGGGTTTAATTCCAGTACCATGGGACGGGGAGAGAGAAGCCAGGAAATTATGACAAAGGTCAAAATGTCAGTTGTCTCTGGGGATAAGCAAAGCTGTGGTCTGGAAGGGACAAAAGGGACTCTGGAGCCAGCAAGTTTCCTCTGTGCTCTCATGGTGGTAACACAAGTTTTCATTTTGTAATTATTCGAGAAACCAAACACTTGTGTGCATTCATTGTAATAAAAGTGGTCCCTTTTTGTCACTGTGAAAACAGTGGAGCTCATGGATAACTTTATATACTTTCAAAGGATGAAGAAAAAGCGTGCTTTTCAAGGAGAGGGGGAAAAGTTATCAGGAAACACTGCAGCTGCTAAAGACATTAAAAAATGCTGATAAGGAGCTTGAGATTAAACAGAGATTAAACAGCTGTGACACACAGCTCAAGAATGGCAGCGGCTTCCACTAAATGATCTCTCAGGGCTACAATCCAGAAAAGAGCAGGGGAATCATCATCCTTACCTCAAAGGCATGGCTTTTATTCATTAGTAAAGATTCAGTCATATGTTACCCAGGTATTACCCAGTTCTCAGAAGCTGCCTTTAACCTAGGCAGGGATACTTGGTGAATGTTCCAGAAGGAAGATGATTTGAAAAACAAAAAAGATATTTTCAAGGCAGCAAAGAACTTCTAGTGAAGCACTACTTTGCCACAGTTAAGAAAGCTGATGTGACACATTTTTAAAATTCCAATTTATTAAAAAAGTACCTTCCTATCACAAGATGGAAAATGGCTTTAAAAAAATGCATGCAGTTGATACTGGAAATTGGCTGATGATTAATTTCAATGCAGTTGGCTCACGTAAGAATAAACCAAGCAAAATTGAATTAAAAATGCTTCCTTTCTTTAGAAACTCCCTTCATAGACTAGACAGTAAGAGGAAACATCATTTGTCTCCTCACTTCAGAGGAAGCATGTCACCCAAGTCAAATGTCAAGAGGATCACACAGACAGGAGGAAGCAGCTCACAGCAGGGACACCTCTGTCTTTCATCCTCCACTCTTACCCTTCCCCCAAAGGACTGGTCATTTCCTAGTATTTGTTCTCTGCATTTCAAACTGAAGAAACTCTAACCATAAAATGTCACATGTGGTCTATGAGCAATTCCTCACGTTTAACAACAATAACAAAACGCTTTTAACTTATCTGGTTAATGACGTGTCGTTTTAATATTTTTCTGGTCAATGAGAAAAGCTAGCCTGCTTATTGCTTAAAAAATAAGAGCTAAATTCTGGCAGCTGTAGAACCAAACGCGGCTTGCCATTACCCTCTGACAGGCAGATCAAGACGACAAGCAGTGGAGAGGGGGCAACTTCTGAGCTCTGCTCGGCACAGCAGCAGCAACCACCAGTCTTTTGATTTATTCTCAGTGTTCATCTGCCACATTTATTCAACAGATTGAAATTATTTCAGTGGCTAAGGAGCTCTGTGGCTGACATCAAGCTCACAGGTCCTATCAGCAAAAGATCTCACATTGAATATCCTTGCCCTTGCCCTTCCCTTCCCTTTCCCCGCTTCCTTCCTTCCACACAAGACTCGGAGGAAAAGAAATCCCAACTGAAAAGGATACTATCAACATCAATATTCTGGCGGTGATATTGTTATCACACTTTTTCAAGATGTTATCACTGGGAAAACTGGATAAAGGGTACCTGGGGTCTTTCCGCATTACTTCTTTCATATACATATATATGCCAACTTTATTAAAACATAATTCATATATCATGCTGTTTGTCCATTTAAAGTATAAGGTTCATCAGTTTTTTGCATATTCCGAATTTTACAACCATTACCACAATCAACTTCAGAACATTTGCGTTACCCCAAGGAGAAACCCTATGTTCATTAGCAGTCGCTCAAACTGGGCTCTCCTCTCCCCTAGGCAACTAGTCATCCACTTTCAGTCACTGCAGATTTGCATAATCTAGACATTTCATGTAAACGGAACCATGTAATATATTTTCCTCCGTGGCTGGCTTCTTTCACTTAGAATAAGGGTCAGCCATATGCACTAAGCGTCAGTTCTTCGTTTCTCTTTATTGTCAAATGATGCAGTGTCACAACATTTTTACTCTGTCAGACAGTTTGAATAAAAAACAACATTCTGGTTAGAAAAATTAAATATTTTCCAATGCCCAAAATGTCCTCTTTTCTAAACCTCAATTTCTCCCAGGCTCCACCTGGGTACAAGCTAAATTAAAGTTCTCTAAATTTGAAGTGCGAACATTAGGCACACAGCCCAGTGGATGCCCATGAACAGAAAAAGGTTAGAAAGGGGCAGGGAATTAGAGTATTTGCAAGTGGAAGCAAAGAGGTTTTCTCAATTCCAGAAAGGACCAATGTAGCTGAGCTCCAGGTGCCCAACTGACTAAAGTCCAGACAGAACAGCAGCTGTGGACAGTCCTCTGCACCACCACTGCCCACCACTGCCTTGCTCTCAATTTCCTGCTGGCTCAACCTTCAGTTTTGTTTGTTTTTTTTTTTGGAACGAGCATGATGAGGAGCCAAATGGCACCTCTGTGTACTACCATCATGGAGTTGGTAAAGTTTACCAGTCTACATGTTTGCAGTCTTGAAATATTTTTTAAAAATTTTAAGAGCGCTATCTTAATCTCTTTCCCTCAAATTGACAACTTCCAAAGGTCAGCAGACTAGCTAGCCAATTTCCTGTTTCACCATCATACCCCTTAGCTTTCTAACCCTTGCTGCTGCTGACATGGGTACAGGGAAGCACACAGTGAAGTCACCTCACCCGTAACCAGGAAGCTCCTGAAGCTGTCTAACCGCACAGCTGACCACAGCACTTCTGATGCCAGGAACCCAGCACGGCAGCAAATGCACTTTTAAAGCCGCACTGACTGAGATACAGCTTGAGTACGTATAATCCACTCAAACAACTGGATTTAGGTGTACTTGGTTGGCTGTTACTTAGTTCTCAGCATGAACTTCTGTTCCTTTATCCTGGCTCCACAGCTGGTCATGGGAGGGTTAAGGCAAAATCCCAAGCCATCCCTCAATGTACATTCAGGGTGATTGCCTTCCAGTGAATAAGTACAATGCAGTTAAACTAGTCTATGTTTTCTTCATAACACATGTGCAATTCCCTCACCAGCACTTATCTACAGAAGGGTCCAGCTGCATGATTTATAGTTTGGTTTCATAATAAAAACTAGGAAAATCCCTTTAAAAATACAGCTTCTGGTGACGAGTTAAACACAGAGTATGACTTCGCATGCTACCTATCCAGAAACAACTACATTTTCTCCTTAAAACCATGAGGCGATTAGGATGGCTTAAGAATTCTTTTAAATTCTTATCACAAAAGAATAGATGGGCCAAAAGAATGCCCTGGAGAAAGTCCTGCTATAAATGTGTGTACTTTTTGCCAGCCTAAGAAGGTGATACTTAGTACTAAGGAAGGATTCATTAATGATGTGAGTTTGAGAATCTTTAGAAACTTTCTCGGTGACCCTCAGATTGCAATAAATGTGAGATCTCTTACTAAGCCAGTTGTCCTAACCCTAAGTGCAGCTCTACTTGAGGTGGAAGCAAATTTCCTATGCTTCAAATGTGCATCCAGAGAACCTGAGGATGAAAGAATTATGAAAGAGTAGACAGAACACTCTGGATAAATACCCACCGCTCCCTACCTTACAAACATTAAGAGCATTACTAAGTTACAAGGAAGACCAAGAGTTGAAGCAAACAGATTTTGCAGGTCAATCTGTGGTCTCTACTTGAGGTGGAAGCAAATTTCCTATGCTTCAAATGTGCATCCAGAGAACCTGAGGATGAAAGAATTATGAAAGAGTAGACAGAACACTGTGGATAAATACCCACCGCTCCCTACCTTACAAACATTAAGAGCATTACTAAGTTACAAGGAAGACCAAGAGTTGAAGCAAACAGATTTTGCAGGTCAATCTGTGGTTCTCAATGAACAACAGAAAGTTTAAAAAAAAAAAAAAAGATGCTTCTGATACCATTTAGTGGCTGGCTTAGAAGCTGAAAGAAACTGTTTTAAGCCCTTCTTCATTACTGTTTGCAGAGTAGGACCCTGGCTCCAGAGCCAAACACTCACCCATCCAGACTTCCCCAAACTGTCCAGCACCAAGCTTTTTCACCAGCTTAATGGACTCCCGAGGGATTTCCCAGGCATCTTTGTCCCACGGCTTCTGCGGTTTGGGACTAATACATGCCTTCTCCAATCTTCTGCACAAGCCATCTGCCTGCTCTAATTTGAAAGAGAAAACCAAGCTTAAGAAATGAAAATAGTCTGTGTCCACAGAAGGTGGTTCCAGGACCTCCCACTCCACAGCAAAATCCACAGATATTCAAGACATAAAATGATGTCATATTTGCATCTAACCTATAAACATCTTCCCATATACATGTTCAATACAGATTCAATATTTTAAAATATTGGTTAATTGCCGAATTCGCAGATGTAGAACCTATGGCTATGAAGGGCCAACTGTACCTACTTTGTATCTTACCAATTTCTTTTATTTAATGAATTTTATTGCTACATTTAAGGTATACAACATATAATTACATATAGCACTGGAAATCTGCACCTTTACATAATCCATCTTAGTTCTTATTTTTCCCCATTCCCCCGCCCTCCCTTCAACCCCTCCACCCCTCCCTATCTATAAAGACTTTGTTTCCATTTTTTCTTTTTTTCATGTTAATTCCATTCCCTTCTTTCTTTTACCCTCCCCTCCCCTTCCCCTTCCCCTTCGCACCTTTTCTTCCTATTTCACATTATCTATTACACCTTTTAGTCCTTGTTTACACTTTTAGTCTCTCACACTAGAGAAACTTCAGTATTTACATGTGCGTCCTATTTACTTCACTTAAGAGTATGGCCTCAATGCGCATCCATTTAGCTATAAATGTCTCTAATTTCTCATTCTTTATGGCTGAGTAGTACTCCATTTTATAGTATACACACACACACACACAAACACACACACACATCTTTATCCAGTCTCCTGTTGATGGGCAATTGGGCTGCTTCCAAAGTTTAACTGTCATGAATTGTTCTGCTATGAACATGGGTGCACATACATCACTGTTGTATGATTCTTTCAGTTCTTTGGGGAAGATATCCAGCAGGGGAATAGCTGGATCAAATGGAACTTCCAATTCCAATTCTTTTTTTTTTTTTTTTTTTTTGGTATTGGGGATCGAACTCTGGCCCTTGAGCTTTCGAAGCAGGCACTGGAAACACTGAGCTAAATCCCCAGCCCCAATCCTAATTCTTCATGAGGCATCTCCATATTGATTTCCACAGTGGTTGCACCAGTCTGCACTCCCACTAGCAGTGGAGCAGGGTTCCTCTTTCCCCACAGCCCCACCAGCATTTGTTATTGGTTGATTTCATGATAGCAGCCATTCTTTCTGGGATGAGGTGGAATCTCAGTGTTCTTTTCATTTACATCTCTTGAATGACCAGTGATGATTACCATTTTTTCATATGTTTATTTGCTGTTTCTACTTCTTTGTCAGAGAAATGTCTGTTCATTTCAGATGCTCATTTTTGGAGTGGGTCTTTAAATTTGGGAGGTCTGATTTTTTAAGTTCTTTATATATTCTAGATAGTAGACCTTTGTCTGAGGAACAGCTGATGAAAATTTTTTCCCATATTGTGGGTTGTCTTTTCACACTGTTGGTGGTTTCTCTGGCTGTGCAGAAGCTTTTTAATAACAAGAGATCCCACTTGTTGATTGATTGCACTAGTTCATGGGCAACTGAGGTATATATCATCAGTTTCTACAAAGAAAAGCTTGAACTATTAATTTTATAATGTTGAACCTGCCAGTCTACAAATGTAAAATGCTGACATAGCTATCTTTTATGTAATCATGACTTTTAAAATTCTTAAAAGACAATTTGAAACACTTCATTTCATCCATTAATACTGCTAATATAGGAAAACAAAAACAGCAAAGCAAAAAGATACACAAAGGCTGACAGATAATCGCACTTAATGGAATGTGATTTCAGATTCTTGAGCCCACATAAGTTACACAGGGCACAAAGATGGGAATGTAGCCAGTTCATCCCTGGGCCCCAGCTCAGAAATGCTCCAGAGCATTGCAAGAGCTCAACACATGGGCCATTGAAAAAGGATGAAAAGGAGGGAAGATTCCATGAAATCTGTGGTCCTTTGCTCTCTATTTTGGGAGCATTCTCCCAAAATGTGCATTCTCATAGAGAACACAGCAGAAAGAAGCCGTAGTAACAGGCCCTACACCTGAGGATAGGATTTCTGCACACAAGAGATTAAAGGTCATGGGTTCAGACTTCACAAGGGCTGGGAAGTGACACCAGATACAAGAAACACTGATCTACCACTTCTGAATCTGTCAGGGATATAATTTCTGTTTTGTTTTACCAAGAGTATATTTTATTTATACTCATGCACATATGCACACACAAACACAGATCTGCAAAACTATTCCTATTTAAAACACTTGGATCTAGGGCTGGGGATGTAGTTCAGTAGGGTTGAGCCTGCGTGGCAAGCACAAGGTCCTGAGTCTGATCCTCCACACTGAGCGCAGGAGTGGGGTAAATAAAACATTTGGATCTATTGTAAAAATACACACTGTGCAAAAATAAAATTTCCCTAATTTTGGAATGTTAAGTGACAAATAGCATAGTCTAGGCAGAAAGGATTACTATAATTATGTAAAAAGATCAAATATCACTTTGAAGGTATAGTTTCCAATTTATAATAGTTCAATTTAGGATTTTTTTTTTACTTTCTGATGGTAGAAAAGTGCACCTATATGACCATTCTGGTTTTTTCTTTTAGTACAGTGTTAAATAACTTACATGAGCTTCTCACCACTTTAATATAAAATTTGTTTTGTGGTGTTATATGATTTTTTCCCAACTACAGGCTAATGTAAGTATTCAGAGCATGTCTAAGGCTAGGCTGAGCTATGATGTTTGGTAGATTAAGTATATTAAACACACTTTCAACTTATATATTTGCAATTTTTAATGGGTTTATCAGACTATAACCTCATCATAAATTAAGGACCATCTGTATATTTAATCACAGTTGAGTTTAGAATCAATTATAGAACATAAACTGCCAGCTTTATCTAAAAAGACACGATGCCCAAAACATTTAATACAAAAAACAGTATCTGACATCTTATCATAAGGAACATATTCTGCCTTGTTCAACCTTCAGTTTTCACTTACTTTGGTAATGCTTAATCATGTGACTGATACAAGAAAAAGTAATTCGTGGAGAGATGTAATAGCCCCCATTGTCCAGACTCCGAATTTTGTAGTGCTTAATAACATCGCCATGCACAGGATCATAATCTCTGACAGACAGAGAGAAGCTTCCTATGGGAACAAAGCATAAGTAAAGTGCATGTTTATATTTTACAAATAAAGTTTGCATTGTACAATACTGTGGTACACATTTTTCCATGTAAATATGCAAATATAAGTTAAACATGTACACAATGCACGATTTTAAAAGTTTTATAAAAATTGTAGTTGACAAATAAAGCTAGCATTTTCTTTACTGCCCCAGTTGCCAACATGCTATCTTACTTCCAGGGTAGCTTTTAAGATTACTTAGCTTAACAGAAAAGTTACTTTGATTTCCTTTCCCTTAAAATTTTAGGATTCAGTCTAAATAATAATGCAAGAAGCCCAACAAACATAAAGAATGCCCTCTTAGCTTGGCCATAATTACACCTGCTTTCCATGTTCATTTTAGTAGCAAAATGAATCATTCGAGTTAATTGTTATCAAAGTACAAAATTTTCGCTACTAGAACCCACTTTTTAAAGTAGTTCTAGAATATTTTCTAAAGAACTGTTTCCTAAGTAGCAGCTTATAAGGCATCTTAAGCAACTTTTTACCTTTTAATGTTTCACTTTCTCGGATGAGAAAAGCTCCTGCACTGTTCCCTGGTGCCAGGAGCTGTCGTTCTGCATCTTTCCTGGTTATATCCTTGAAAAACCACCTGTGAAGACATTTTAACATTTCATAGACCTTAGGTTTCAGGGAAGGCAAAGAATGATGAATAAACAAGTACTTCAGTGCAGAGAGCACCATCCTCAGAGGTGACAACACATAAGGACTCACTCTTCTGTTTCTAAGGTGTTGACCTTGGCCACGTAGTTGCTAGGGATGAAGCCTTCTCTCTTGGTTGAAAGAGACTTAGCTTTCCACCATTCTCCATGCCTGGAATAAAAATACACACAGAAAAGTATTTATATCCACGATTCAAGAGCTACAATCTTAGGGTATCTTAGGGTATTAGTTTGCAAGGTGAGGAGAGAGTCCACTGGGAAAAGCCACTCCTCTGTGCTACAAAATTGTTTAGGAGTGGAAACAAAGGAAAACAGGCTTATAACCTAAATGTGGCTTGTAGCGTTCAGTGCTGCATAAAAGGGGCTTGGTAAGAATGGATCTTATCATGCAGAAGTGAAATATTTGTCACTTCTTCCAGGCTTGCTAAGAAATGCTTTAGGATCCTTATAGAAACAGAGATCTAGGGAGTAATGGGCCATAGTTCATGTGTTAGAAACTCCCTTGCTAAAATACCCAATTTCAATGCAGGTAGATGCCATGTGTGGAAGAAATAACCATAAAACAATTCCAAGCAGCTCAGCCTTATCCTCGAGCTACGGGGCAACACAGAGCTAGGTGGAGGCACGGCCAGGACTGGAAGGGGCAGATGAACTCTCTGGTGCTCACACAGGACAGGCTCCTTGTCTGTGAGACATGAAGGACAAGAGAACTAACACTCAGCTGCCGCCTACTCTACATAAGCACAATATTTATATATACAGTTGCCCCCTCCATATTCATGGGCTCTGCATCTTTAGCTTAAACCAAGGTAGACTGAAAATATTCTTTAAAAATTATGTCTGTATTAAACATATTCGACCAGTTCTCTTCTCATTCTTCCCTAAATAATATAGCATAAGAATTATCGACCTAGCATCTACATTTTTTAGGTCTAGAGCTAATGTTTAGTCTAGAGCTAATTTAAAGTAAACCAAAGGATGTGCAGAGGTTTTATGCAAATGCTACACTAGTTTATGTAAGGTACTTGAGCATCTGTGGATTTTAGTATCCAAGGGGCCCTGGAACCAATTTCTGGCAATGCCCAGTGATGGCTGCATACACGCATGCCATGCCCATAACAACTCCGTGATTGAGAGACCGCCATTCCCATCTCATAGTTGAGATGCAAAGTTAGAGACTGTGTAAGTTTTCAAGGCCACACAGCCATCCAGAGGAAGGGTCAGGTTTAGGCTCAAGTTTGTGCTCAACCCAAAATCAACATTGCTCTCAATGGTTCATTAATAAATGATTAATTTATTAAACCCTGTGCAGCAGTTCAGGATGACACTTCATGCCAAATAAGTAGGAGAAGTAAGCTAGAATTAAAATATTCTGAGTTCCTTTTTCTTCTTGATGCCCTGTACCCCTGGGGCCTGAAAAGAGCTATGAGTCACCATGCAGGCGTCAAGGAAACAAAATGTCTAAGTGCCTTCATGGAAGCTACTGAGCAGGGCTTTCCCAACATGATGCTGCTGTAGCACCTCACCAAGGAAATCTAACCAGCTGAGACATAAACCAAGTGTAATCTGAGTAATAAGACTCAATTAAAATAGCCACCTAAAATAACCTGCAGATGTCATACAGACCCAAACTTCTCAAGGTGAAACAGCTTGAAAGAAATTGGCATCTGCCTCAAAAGGCAAGCTTGTGGAGAGTGGTCACAGCTGGACTCAAATTTACTGGCAACTGAAGGGTTGGGAGGCCTTACAACTACTAGAAGAAGGGGGTCTGGATGTCATTCTGGCCCTGTGGGTATGCTGCAGGGGCCAGTGGCCTGAGGACAGGAGCTACTGCTGCAGATGCCTGCACTTACTCCTCCAGGACCTTCATCTTTTCTCCCTTCTTGAAAGACAAGTCATCTGGGTGGATGCCATCATATGGATACAAGGCCACCACAATGTCTCCTTGCTCCTCCGGATCTAGAAATGAAGAACACAAGTAAAAGCTTTTAAGACTCAGCAGAAAAGACTGAACAAATCCCCATGGGGCACAAAGGATTGGAGGAAGCCCTAGAGAGGGCTGAGCAGTACGTGGACGTGCCTTACTACCTGGGGGAAGGGGAGCTGAGGTCCACATATGTGCTGTACATACTGCTCACAGTATTTGTTATCAGAAATCGTATTTGCCAGAGCTATAATACTAGCTCTGTATTTAAGAAATTATGTGCCCCAGTGCTGGCAGAGTTGTAGGGTAAAAGGAACCCTTCTATATTTTTGGTGGAAATGTAAACTAGTACAACCTTTATGGAAATCAGTATGGAGATTTCTCAAAAAATTAGAAATTCCATTTGACTCAGCTATTCCTTTTCTCGGTAGCTTCCTGAAAAAGTCAAGGTCATCACATTACAGTGATACATGAATAGAATACCCATGTTTATAGCAGCACAACTCACAATAGCCAAATTACGGAAGGGGCCTATACGCTCATCAAGAGATGAATGGATAGAGAAAACATGGTGTATATACATGATGGAGCACTATTCAGCCAGAAAGAAGAATAAATTTGAGACATTTGTAGGAAAATGGGTGGACCCTGAGACCGTAATGCTAAATAAATCAGTGAAATAAATGTCTCTTGGTTTTTCTTATATGAGAGACCCAAACTATGAATAATTTAAAGAGCAAAATAAAAGAGAGATGGTAGGAATCAAGGAGATAGACTTTGGGGAGATGGGAAAGAGATCTGGAGAAGGAGGAAGAAGGAAGGGCAGGCAGGAGGGAAAGAAACCACAATGACTGAGATGCACTAGGCATACACACCAGTTCTCCAAGATGAGTGCAATTATTATGTGTTGCAAAACTATACCAACAATAAAAAGGTGTGCCCATATTCATCAGAGCATCATTCATATACCTAAAGGTAGAAGGGACCCAAATATTGATAAAATGTGGCACGGCCACACATTGGATTATTATTTAGCCTTAAAAAGAAATGAAGTTCTGACATATTCTATGACATTGATGAACTTTGAGATAAGTTAAATAAACCAGGCACCAAAGGACAAATACCTTTTTCACTTATATGTGGTACCTAGAATAATCAAATCCACAGAGACAGATAGAATGGTGGTGGTTCCTAGGAGCAGCGGGAGAGTGGATATTGCACACAGAATTTCAGCCCGAGATGATGAAAAAGTTCTTGGATGATGCTGATGGTGGCACATACGTGACGCCACTGAACTTGACACTTAAAATGGTAAATTTTATGTTATAGATATTTTCCCACAATAAAAAAATAACTATAAATGTCCTGGACAATGACTTTATGGGGGCTCTGACAGTAAGGAAAAAAACATACCTTTCGCTTGAAACCTCTGTCCTGGTAAAAGCTGAGATTCTGGAATCTATAAGAGAATATTTATTAGGAAAAATAATTTATATTTAGTTTTGTTCACACACATTCACTTGTGTATCATTTTTCTAACAGCAGCAAGTTGGTCTAAATTTGCGAATTGAGTGAGCTGGAATGAGGGCAGCACAGAAAGAGAAGTCTATGGAGCAAGGTTGAAACCTACATAGGACACTGCTCTTCCTGCTGAAAGCAATCACTTGCCTGTGCTAGCAGAAAGTGACAGGGCTCTGGAAGCAGCTGCTACAGGCCCACCTCATCTTAGTTCTCCCTCTTGTTTGGTAACAGAACCCTAATATTTAATGTGGCAATCTGACCAGCTCGATGGCCGCCTCCAAACTTTCAGCCCCCATGCAGATGGGAAGGGAGCGTCTGACAGCTCAGTGGCTGTGTGGCACTTTAAGTGCCCCGTCTTTTCTCTTGTTTTCTTCTTCCTTCTTAGTCACGAGGGAAGACTGGAGCCCCAGGAGCCATGGAGACCAAACACCAGGGACAGCAGAAGGGAAGACAGAAGCAGCTGGGCCCTGGTAGTTTTTCAGGATTCTCACACAGGCCCATCTCCACATCTTGGACTTGTTGAAATGCGTGTGGCCAGGGTTGTCACTGGTAGCTGAGAGCAAATTGTAGCTGGTCCAGATTCTCCTCAGGCTGACCCAGACTCCACTGTGGACACAGAGGGCATCCCTGGGTCCTGTAGTAGGAGGCGAGTTGCTGGGAAGGGCCTGAAGGCACAGCAGGCCACCTTTTCCTCCCTGTGTCACAGCAAGGCCCTGTGAGGTCTCCTGGCCTCTTCTAAGGAAGATGCTGTCAGGGGCCTATGGCACAAACTGTGAACTTTTCTGTTTTCTTGATTAAAGTGATGTGAAATAGGAAGAAAAGGGCTAAAGGTGTAGGGAAAGTGGGAAGTGTAGGGGAAAGGGAATAAGGGAAAAGAAAAAAAATATGAGAAAATGAAAAAGGGAAATAAGGTATTTGTAAATGGGGAAGAGGAGGGGTGAAGGGAGGGCTGGGACAAGGGGAAAAAATGAGAACCAAGACCTGTCATGTAAAGGTACAAGATCCCAATGATGAATATAACTGTACTGTATACCTAAAATGTACCAATAAGCTCAATTAAAAAAATAAAGTGATTCCATGGAATTGAAAGAGGATGGATTATATTTAAATTTAAAGTTTTGATGAAAGTCAGCCTATAAAATCTTTAATTCAGTGAAGAGGGCTCATACTATCCTTTAGGACTTATTCAAAGATGTTCATACTCAAAATTTTAGTCATTTAGATTTGCATAATTAGGAAATATGATTTATTTTATGTGATTCAGAGGTCATAATTAGGTGAGAATCTAATTAAAAGCAGCAAGAGGAGTTCCAAATATCAGAGACTTAACTTACAAACATCGTAATGCCTTTTTTTGTTCTAATGAGACCTCACTGTTACCCAGGATAGGTCTTGAACTTGTGGGCTCAAGTGATCTTCCTGTTTAGCCACCTGAGTAGCTGGGGCTACAGACAGATGCCACCCCACCCAGCTAATTTTAATACCTTTACTAAGACCAAAAGATATATACCAGACGTGACTCTTATACCATTGCTCTAGATCTTTCTTTAAAATAGCTTTTCCTAGCGTGTTGTTTGATTTGTGGCAATTCGACTTCACCTCCTCATTGGACCCAATTGCAGTCAGTCCATTGCATGAACGTGGTACCTCTGGTGGGGCTAAGAATGTTATTTATGGCCACAGAATAGGGCCAAACTAACTGGCTCATGAAGCCAGGGCATCTGTGATCACAGAATGTACAAATAAAAACACTTATGGTGTACATGAGGGGATTGAAAGAGTTGAAACATGTTTACATCTCTGCTTTCTAACTTGAGTTTTAATCTCCCTTACTCTGAACAAGAGGAGAAAGTGGATGTAATTTTATACTACTCTCCTTTGTTTTTATGAAAAAGGACATCTTCATTCATCATTTAAGAACAAAACCAAAATATACAACAAACAAATAAACCTTAGGTTTAAGCACATAAAGCTATAGCATTTGGTACCAGAAACAAATAGATCCTTTTAAAGAGAACTCTGAAGTTTAAAAGACTATTTGTGACTCAAACTCCTCTTATTATATTTTCTGTTAATCATATTTATATACTATATAGTTCTATACTATAACTTATGTAATATGTTTTACATTTTATATTGAAGCTGGACATGGTAGCACATATGTGTAATTCCAGCACTCTGGGAAGCTGAGGCACGAGGATGGCAAGTTAAAACCCAGACTTGGAAACTTAGCAATTCAGTGAGACCCTTTCTCAAAATAAAAGGACGGTAGGCATATATCTCAGTGCAAAGGCCTTGGGTTCATTCCTCAGTAACACACACACACACACACACGCAAATTTATTGCTACGTATTTATCATCAATAAACTATTAAAGCCACTAATAATCTTATACACTTGGAGTAGGCATATTTTTATTTGTAATTTCACGTTACAATGGTAATTTGTATATCCAGAAACATCATATATATTTACTTCATAGTATAACCTACTTTAGCTTCTGTTGTGAATTCAGTATTTCTTTTTGCTTCTAGACTATGGTGCTAATCTCATTATCTATTTTTTTGAGACAGGGTCTTGATTTGTAGTTCAGGCTGATCTTGAACTCACTATGTTGTCCAGTCTGGCCTTGGACTCCCAGCAATCCTCCTGCCTCAGTCTCCTGCTTGCTGGGATTATAGGCATGTGCCACCATGCCTGGCTTCACTATCTATTTTGAGCCACCAATAACAAGAAAGATGGTTTTCTTTACACAGGAGAATGTGACCAAATGCCTGTTTATTGCCCAATAAATGGCTTAGTTTTTCCTAAACTATTTACATGCTCTTCAAAGGATTAATTTATCAAGCATATCAGAAATTATTTGGGGCCCAAGTAATTAATGTGATTATTTGCATGCATATATTACAGATGAGGGTTTAAATATTGCAGCCATACTTTGATCCTGAGGTGGGAATTCTCCCCTGAGACTATCTACTTACTGGCCTTTGCTGTTTATTGGACGTTGGATCTCTCACATAAATAGTTCGGTCAGTATTACGTACTGGTTGAGTCTTCAAATCTATTCCATCGTCATTCAGATTGTCTTTCCTTTTTGATTTTATACATCCCATATTTCCTGTTGGAATATAAACACAGTGATATTGTTTTACTGTTCCAGAACTGGCTTCAAGCCATTAGAAACTTCCTAACTTATTATACAGAAATACACTCAAAGGTGAATAGTTCACAAATAGGTTTGCTTGTCCATTAATTAATTCATAAATATGGATAAATCATCAATTTTTTGTCATCCAGACATGATTTCTAATCTGAATATTTTTGTATTTTTGTGGCAAAGATGTATGAACTTAAATTATGGCACAAAGTGGTAAGTCAATGACAGGCTGCACAAGACCTAAGAAAAGACATCTAACTCATGCAAGAGGAAAAGAAGGTAGCCAGAGAAGCCTCCTAAAGAAGCTGCTCCATGAGCTGAGATGGGAGGGACATAAGCCAGGTGTTAAAGTCAGAAAAGGGGTTCCAGGAAGAAGAAACTTCATGTGCAACCACAATGACGGCCAGGCGACATGGCCACTTCAAGAACCAGTTTAATAACATTAAGACCCTTCATCAAGAAGCAGGTGGGGAAGGCCTGGATTTGGGGGTGGGGAGGGAGGCACATGTTGGGCACAATGCTGGTGACTTGAGATTTACAACCAGACACATTCCATGTGCCTGTGCTTACAAAACAAAATAAAATCTTCTATGATTTCCATCAGAAGGTCCTACAGGGCAGTGGTTCCTACAGATTAGATTCTCTGGACACAGTCTAGAAAAATTTGGGGCCCAGTGCGGGCTTGTTACTCCATATTTTGGAGCCAAATTCCAGCTCCCCATTCTGCCAAATCTGGGGGCCAATTCCTAGAACTTCAGATGAAAGAAAGATGACTTGGAGCTGAGAGGAGAGGTGGTGCAAGTCAGTTAGTACTGGGGGGAGGAACTATGCTATGCTTAGAAATGTCCAGAGCTCTCTCTGCACTCTGTTCCCAGTGTCCTGCTGCCACTCGACTGGCCTCCTCCTTGTCTTGGTATCCTGCAGGCCCCCAGCTTGCCTGGGGACTTGGGCTTGTTTATCATCTCCTCGGCTAGGTATGACACTCTAAAGGACAGCCAAGCCTCTTTCTGAAACTAGCCAGGGGTAGTTCCCAAAATAAAGGGGAAGCAAGCACATCTTTGATTCAAAACAGCACTTTTTTTTTTTTTCCTATATGCTGAAGTTTCTGAAGCGGAGATGGGTTTTAAAGATGGTTTGTAAATAAGCAAGATGAGTTTTAGGAGTGATTTGTAAATGAGCACATGAGTTTGTTTGTTTGTTTGTTTGTTTGTTTTCAGCCACCTCCCCTAACTGGTCGACCCTTAAAGTGCTTTATAAATGAGTAAAAACAGCAATAGGAAAGTCCTGGAAGTGCAGACCCCTGAGCATGTGGCAAGCTCTTTGCAGAGAAGCCTTGAGGGATCCCGCTTGGCTGACCCTGTGCCCCAGCCCTTTACACACCCATCCTACTTCTGAGGCCCCCGTCCCTTGCCGCTGTGTATGTGTCTCTCTGAGTCTCTCTCTCTCTCCCCCAGATCCTACACAAAGCTTATTGCCTCAGACAAGTGAAAGAAAGAGCATGTTCCACCCAGAACACCATGATAACACATTTTTATTCTGTGGTACTGTTGGATTGAATACAGAGCCATCACACAGAGCTACATTTGCAACCTCTTTAAAAAACTTTAAATTTTTGTTAACAGATCTTGCCAAATCACTAAGTTGCCCAGGCTGGGCTCAAATTTGTGATCTCCTGCCTCAGCCTCTCAAAGTGCTAAGATTACGGGTGGGCACCACCATGCCGGGCTTCCATTTACGACTCTTATTTGTCATATTCCCACCTAGTTGCATTATCAGCCTTTTTTTTTTTTTTTTTTTTTTTTTCCTGTCAGCTCTCCCAGCTAGAATGGAAGTGACCGGGACACCAGTCATCTCCCTGGCTGCCTACAGTGCTTTGAGCACTAACTCAGCACCCAGAGCAGGTGCTCAGAGCATATCTATTGAAAGAACAGACAAATGGGTCCAGTGGCATGGGCTACCACACGTGGGACAGCTACAGGCTCATCAGGACACCTTCTGCCCAAAGGTGCATGATGGAATAGAAAGGGGGCTGTCATTTTGAAAGACACCAAGTGAAGCAGAGGCTTCTAGAACTCACTCCATGTTTGCTGGAAATACAGGGGGAGGGGATAGGGATAAGGTGCTTGGACAAATCCAGAACGTGCTGTACACTAAAGACGAGTAGCTGGATTTGCCTATGCTAGGGTGCAGGGGCAGAAGTATTCCAGATAGCAAGACTGCAGGGCTGGTGGGTAACTCAGTGTTGCAGTGTTTGCTTAACAAGTCTGAGGCCCTGGTGTGAAAGAAAGCGGGGGAGGCACTGTGAGGGTGTGTGAACCTTCACTGAATCCCAGGGGCAAGGGGTTGGCAAGCAAGTAGCTGCAATTATTGGGAAAATCTGAGTTGGTCTTAGATAGAACCTAGGGATTGATAGACTTAGTCAGGTGATAACAGTATTACGGAGGTATGGGAGATTCAGGTGGAGGTGTATGGGGCTAAGGGTTAATTTTTACTTTTAACACTTTTTTAACCAACTTTTACTTTTAACACATCAGCCACAGTGAGGAGGGCAGAGATGGAGCAAAGATGGCCAAATGTTTAAAAGTTAGTGACTATAGGAAAGAGGCATATTCTTTCATTGTTTTCTGTAGATTTGAAAATTTCAAAGCAAAAAATTTGATGGGAGAAGATAAGAGAATATTAAGAATAACTCTGTAAAAGCATTTTTCGAAATGTTAGAAACCCAGTGGAGGGCCGGGGATTTAGATTTAGCTTAGCAGTTCTGCCGCCTGCCTCACAAGCACAAGGGCCCAAGTTCAATCCCCGGTACGAAAAGAAAGAAAGAAAGAAAAGAAACCCAGTGGAGCCTCTGTGTGTGCCTGAAGGCCGGAAATTAGATTAGCAGGAGCTCCTGGTCAGGCATTCTTTCCATGGTAAGTCAAGGAGCCTGGGTTTTACAGCACTGGGGAGCCACAGCAAACTCTCTTAAGTGGAATGACACGGGGATCCTTTGTTTGGAGATAGAACTCTAGGAAACATGGATGGGGGAACTAGCATGGGGAAATCTGCCCCCTTGAGTCCAAAAGTGTTCTGTGAAAGAGATGAGGCCCGCCATACATGGCAGTGCTTTTGGGAACAGGAAGGATGAAACATAAATAAATAAAAAGGTGAGTGGGGCAGGGTATCAATCACGAACACCATACTAATGGATTGTCATTTGTCCATGCTTAGTTCATGCTTAGTTCATGCTTAGTTCATTCTTGCTATCACCATGGAAATTGAGAACAAGTGTTATCTGTCATAGATGAATAAATGGAAACAGCACTCTGTATGGAGGACTAGCATGAACTCAGGGCTCAGACAGAGCTGGCCTCTGGTCCCCCCGCACCCCCAGGAACAGAGCGCAGGTTTGAAGCCCTGCCGTTCAGAAAGAAGCCTTCAAGAGCATTTCTTATCATATGGTGATCAATATCCCAAGGTCTTGCAATTCCCCGTGCTGTATGAAGGTGTCAGAAGCGCAGAAGATACAGTCAGTACCTGACGAAAACTAAGAATGAAATTTACAAATTTCAAAGTTCTTTGGTGCAACAAATGATTTGGTGCAACAAATAAAAAGTACCATAGTACTTTTTAATTAAACACTTATCATGCACTGCGCATCTTATTTACGGCATTATTATGTCACTTTACAGAGGGGTGAGCTGAGCTGAGAGAGGTTCAGTGAGTGGCTAGTGAGTGGAAGAGCTGGGCCTCATCATGCTCCACATTGGTCCAAATCTAAGGTTAGCACTAATTTCACAGCCTGCACTCTTACCATTTTACTATATGATAGCTATTTTGAAAAGTGTGTTTCATTAATAGTGCTAACAAAGAGATTATTTTCATAGCCTATCTTCCTCAAAAGGATATGAAACTCTTTACCACAAAAAAAGTCAATAGCGCCGGGTGTGGTGGCGCACGCCTGTAATCCCAGCACTCAGGAGGCTGAGGCAGGAGGATCACTGTGAGTTCGAGACCAGCCTGGGCTACATAGTGAATTCCAGGTCAGTCTCAATTACATAGTGAGACCCTCTCTCTCTCTCTCAAAAAAAGAAGTCAATAATGAGGTTAATTAAATGAAGAGGAGAGTGTGAACTTGGTTACTCTGTGGGTAACAGATCCCTGTAACTATTCACCCTGAGTTTACTGGCAGGGAGGGCCTGAGGACACATGAGTCACAGGCAGAGGAAAGAGACTGAGCTCCTTGTGGGGAAGTGTGGCCCCAGCAAGAATTCTAAGTCCACCGATAGTAGACTTAAGTGCTGTGGGTGATAGATACATTGTCGGCAGTGCCTCCAAAATGGTTTTTTAAACAATAAATAAAGGTATATTTTATATGGAAAGTCTTTGGGTTAAAAATAATCCTAACCACTGAAGGGGTGACATGCAAATACCACCTTGGGATGTTTTCCTGGGAATGCTCAACTCTGTCATCTGAAGAGACCCAAGCAGCAGGGTAATCCCTCTGCTCATGAGGGACATGGACAAGAACACTTACACCAGCAGCTATGCGAATGGGAGGCTGGTGACTTCTCTTATTGGAAATTTTCTCATAGGAACAAATATTCATCAGCAATGGCTCCTCCTTATTCAAGGGCCTTAGAATATTAAAATAATTATTCACCTGTTATATATTGAACTGTGCAATAAAACAGAATTGTGTACATAGAAAAGAATATGAAAAGAATTATTTCAAAGAAAACAAAAAGTAACTCAGTATAGTGGCACATGCCTGTAATCTCAGATACCTGGGAGGGTGAGGCAGGGAAATTGGAAATTTGAAGCCAGCCTGAGCAACTTATCCAGACTCTGTCTCAAAAGAAAAATATAGGGATATAACTTAGTAATGGAGCACTTGCCTAGCATTCACAAGGCCCTGAGTGCTAAAAATTTAAAAAAACAACAACAACAAAAAACAGCCACAACAACAACAACAACAAAGC